TGTATCTCTTATGAATGATTAAATAGAGCTGGCAGAGCATGTTATTGTTTTTCAGTGAATGCAATTTACATTCACTGAAAAACAATGGTGGGTTCTTATCGCTCTGATTTATCATGCATTAGAGGTACAGATTTGAGTTGTTTACAAAAGATGTAGCTAATATCAAAACCTACAAAACCATTAAACACTATTTTATGGAATTCTATTGATGAAAAAAGTTAGAGGCAAATGAATGTAAATGAATGCACGAAATGAATGTAAATGATTTTCCATCCCTGCGTTACGACACTACCGTATGCGTACATCGTACAAATAAGGTTCCCGTTTCACCTGTGCATACAATGCCTTGGTTTTCTTTGCATGCACGTAATCTATAGCTCATACCGTAGTAGGTTGTGTATAAAAGAAAATGATTTACTTAGGCTGTGAACCATTTGCCGATTTAAATTTAACTCGTGGTTAAAAGTGACATTTCTAGCGTTATGGTGTTTGGATTGGTGGCTTCCGATGGCAAAAATGGACCCAGTGTTCATTCCAGAAGGCGACAAGGTCAACACGGAGGTCTACATCGGGATTTTAAGTAAGTATGTTCTTCCGTGGATCAAAGAACAGTACATTTCGATCCAGTTCGGGATATTTTGGCTAGACGCGATCTGGAGTTTATGCAACTCATATATGTTTTCTTTAAGAATATTAACCATAGATTGTAAGTTTGATTAACCTTGTGTTTAGTTTGTATTTTGTGTATCTGTGTGTGTATTTTTTTTGTAGATTTGTTTCTGTAATAATTGTTTAATTACAGAGTTGATATAATGTCGATAGAATTAAGTATATGTTTTAGAAATAGTGAAATCATCACATCATACATCATTGCCATTTATCTTCCTCCCAATTCGTCCCTCGACCTGTATTACGGTCATGTGAACGCAGTGCAGCTAATTTCGGAAAACTCGTCAACAGCTGATGTGATTCTGACACTAGGAGACTACAATCTTCCAAGTTTACGGTGGCAATCAGACGATGACGTGAACGGCTTTATCCCGTCAAACGTTTCCTCAGAAATAGAACGTTGCCTCACAGAAAATATTTTTGCCTCTGGTTTGCGTCAGGTCAACGATGTTGTGAATACTAATGGCAGACTCCTCGATCTTGTGTTTGCCAATCTACCGGAGTACTTTGACCTCATTGTACTCTCAACTCCACTTTTACCAATTGACGACCATCACGCACCATTTATCTTGCTTCTTGACGAAAGCTGTAATGGCACAATCACAACGGACGATGGGGATGTGAGATTCAACTTTAATTTTCAGTCGTGTGATTTTGGTCGTTTGGATGACGTGCTCTCAAACATCGAATGGGATGCTCTACTGCGACGGGAATCATTGGACGAGTCTGTATCAGCTTTCTATGATAAACTTTACGAAGTTCTTAGTGACCAAGTACCTCAAAAGAGACAACGAGCTTCTTCAGTCTACAACAAGCCATGGTGGACCTCTGAACTACGTCATCTACGAAACGTCCTCAGGAAAGCACGCAGCCATTTCTTTCTGATGAAGTCCGATGGTGAGCGGAATAACCTTCAGGAAGTGGAAACAACGTACAAGGCACTTCTCTTTTACACGTATGAAAGTTACATGGCTAAGATTCAATCAGATGTCAAGCAAAATCCTTCATGTTTCTGGAATTTTGTCAGAAGCCAAAAATCGGCTACTCGCATTACAACTAACGTTAAATACGACGAAACCATCGCTAGCTCTAAGTCGGAAGCAGCAAGCCTATTCGCCAAGTTCTTCGAGAGCGTATTTAGCAAATCATCGCCTGTTCCTCGCTTCAACCGCTTTGCCCATATTGCTTCACCAGACATAAATCTACCCGACGTTCAGTTTTCCGTTGTCGAAGTGGTGAAAGCCATTGAAGAACTCGACGTTGATAAAGGACCTGGAATGGACGGTATACCACCCTTGCTGCTAAAGAATTGCTCCACCGCACTTGCATCTCCCATAACATCTCTATTCAACCGTTTGCTGCATGACAGGATGTTCCCAGTGGCTTGGAAATCAGCTTCTATCATTCCAATCTACAAATCCGGCAACTGTAATCGAGTCACGAACTATCGAGGTGTTTCTGTCTTGTGTTGCTTGAGCAAAATTTTCGAAAAACTGGTGCATAACGTTCTGTATAACGCCGTATCTTCATTAATCTCCGGCAGCCAACATGGTTTCATGAAACAACGCTCCACGACTACAAATCTGATGTGTTACGTCAACACCTTGTCTCGCGAAGTTGAACATGAACAACAAGTTGATTCGATTTATATAGATTTCGCCAAGGCCTTCGACACTGTACACCATATCTTGGTCATAGACAAAATGGTACACATGGGGTTTCCGGAATGGATAACGCAGTGGTTGTTCTCGTACCTGTCGGACAGAACCGGTTGTGTTGTAGTGAATGCGGCACAATCCCAGCCGTTCAACATCACGTCCGGTGTACCCCAAGGAAGCGTTCTTGGGCCGCTGATCTTCAATATCTTCGTAAATGACTTGTGTATGCTGCTCTCTTCTTTTAACCTTTCTTTTGCCGACGACTTGAAGATTTATCGTGTCATCACTTCTTCAGAAGACTGCATGGCGTTGCAAGAGGACATAAACGTTATGCTCGTTTGGTGTAGCGATAATGGAATGCGCGTGAACAGGGACAAATGCAAAGTTATTTCGTTTACGCGACGCACCAGGCCCATTGTCCATCAATTTAAAATGGAATCCGTCATACTGGAGCGAGTTCTATCGATTTGTGATCTGGGCGTTACTATTGACTCAAAATTGAAGCTTAACGAACATGTAGCTATTATAAGCGCCAAAGCATTTTCTGCACTCGGATTCATTCGTCGACATGCTTCAGATTTTACTGATGTGTACGCCATCAAAACGTTATATTGTTCGTTAGTGCGAAGTATCCTGGAGTATGCTGCTCCTGTATGGACACCATTCTACGCGACGCAGATCTCAGCAATTGAGCGTGTGCAGAGGAAATTCATACGATTCGCTCTACGCCAGCTTCCCTGGAATGACCCAGTAAATCTTCCTTCTTACCCCGACCGATGCCGATTGATCAACTTAGAAAGTCTGTCATCGAGGTGAATTAAAATGCAGCGTATGTTCGTGTTTGATGTCATCTCCCAATTCAGGAGGTATTGACTGTCCTGCACTTCTTGAGCAGATACCGATCAACATTCCTCCACGTCGCTTCCGAAGTTCACCTCTACTGGGTTCATCTCTACTGGCAATTCCGTACCACAGGACGAACTATGGGCATCACAATCCACTTGATTCGTGTCTCCGGGCTTTTAATGACGTTGACGACAAATTCGATTTTAACATGTCCAAAACTGTATTTTCACATAGGATTAGGAATTAAGTCTAGAAAATAGTATTAAGTAGTTCAGTCTGTGCGACTTAGCCGAAGGCGGTGATCGTAAATAAATATTCCAAATCTCCTTTTCCCTTTCCCGATCCAAACATTTGTCATCCACTAATCTCGAGAAGACCGCGAGTAATCGGTTCAAATGCTTTAATTTTAGATTTAAGACATTTATAATGTATAAAGAAAATGATAACTTGGCTCTGTTATGTTTATTCGATTGAGCCTGTACAAATTAATTAATTAACAAAAAAAAAACAAAAAGTACATTTCGAAGCCAAATGTTGTATTTCAACAAGATGGGGCTCCGTGCCACCCTCGAACCGCACTCAGAAGTGGTTGCAGGAACATCTTCCGTTCTGGGCGAAGGATATGTGGCCGCCATCCAGCCCCGATCTTAATCCGCTGGATTACTCAATATGGTGCGTCATGAAGGCCAAGGCCTGTTCTAAACGCCACCCGAGTACAGCAAGCCTCAGACAAACATTGACCCGTACCTGGAGATAAATGGATCCAGACTACATTATTAGAACCTGCCGTGCATTCCGGAAGCGTGTGGAGGCCGTAATTGCAGCAAGTGGAAACTCGATCGATGATTAACATAGTTTAAGACTCTGAGAAACATCCCCCCTTTGAATAATAAAAAAAAACTCGAAAACGAATTTTTGAGATTTTTTTTAAATTTTGACATTGCTCAATGGTGCAAACATTATCACGCATACGGTATGTATAACCTGAGTGGTGCGGAGTCGATCGCATTCAGTTTTCAAGTTATTTTATTTGAAAAATATTAATTTTCTTGCCTTTATTTACATCCTCTGGTAGTTTTTCTCCAGGGCTAAAATGAGAACTCGTTCCTAACATTACCGTTATTTGTTTACAATTGCTTAAGCCAATATTTTGAAAAGTTTGGAATAAGCTTTAAAATGGTTATCAAGTAAGAGACTGCTCAATATCAAGTCAAATGATCAAATTTGTTTTCGCAGATTTTCCTCAGACCCGTTTATTTTGATGCTTAAGTTTTCTTTGTTAAGTATGTTTACAATCATTAGTGTTTATTGCAATTAATTAATCGAACTTTTTCATTGGTTGGATATTAGATCCCATTACTTTATATTTCGAACGATTCTGTTTAAGGGACGTAAGCCTTGGTTTTAGTCCTGATCCTGACACCGTTCTATAGAACGAGCGGAAATTTTTTTTTTCGCTAGTGCTTTTTTTCAGTGTTCAACTCTATTGACAATATTTCCCCAAAAACTGAACACGTTCCAATCAAACTTTGCGAAAAACATATTTTATGAACCAAATGGTGCTCGGAAATACAAGCCATCAAAGATTATATCTCCAAAGCATTTAACCATCCACTGCACCCTCGTTTCACGCTTTTCAAACTTAATTGGCGCGCTTTTCAATGAATTAGAAATACTCCATTCGGGCTAGCTTTGATTTCCCCCCGCCGCTTGTATTGAATCAACGCTGGTTGACACGAAGTTCACGCTCAACGCTTTTCACTCTTTCCATTCTAAGCCCAGATCCTATGGAGGCATGGTTGGTCGTGGAGAAGCGGAGATGCCTACCTGGACCGGTGCGGCGCCGTTCTGTTCCACAGCGTTCTGCGTTTCTTTTTTTTTTGTTCTGAGTTGAATGGAAATTTATTCTAGAGCGCTATTTCCTCGTTGTCACGACGCGGTTGCTCTGATTGTATGCGAGCGAGGGAAAATTGCGCGTCACCATTAGCTTCTGCCGCACTACCAACCAAAATGACCAACCGTTCGGTGGCCTTTCAAAATGTTGTTTTATTTAGTTTCGCTGTTTTTTTTTGGGAAAACCGTTTGAAATTTGCGGAAGAGATGCTCTTTGACGATCAGCAATCCGTCACTAATTAACCTTCACCAATAATGGAACGAAACGGTTGATTTTTTTTTGGGGTTTATGGCCGTTTTCTGCTATCGAGGTGATCGCCATATAAACACTTTCAAATTTGTATGAATCTTATCACTCTCAGAAACTTGAGCGACCTCCTCTTTCCGCTTCAAAAAGCAAATATTCTTCTTTTGCCACACGTTTTTCAAATTCGCCCTTTGTTTCCGGTCTGGTGCACCCTCACCGCGTTTGTTTGGCCGTTGCCATTGTCTGCCCGGCACATATCTTAACAACACGGTGGATCTCTGTGCCAACCGACGAAGAAGCACCTCGTTGAAAAAACAAACATTTCTTCGACACCCGAAACCAAGGTCACTACTCCATTGAAAACGATCCCGCGTGATGGCTTCACTACCTAATTGAACAATGGTCAAATATAATTTAAAATTTTAACTTGATCTACGGCGCATGGACACACGTATCAACTGCTCGTCACAACAACCGAATTAGAACTGAAACCGTGGCCGGCGTGGACACACAGGAAAAGCCACCCACAAATGATGATCACCTCTTTTTTCTCGTTATTGTTATTTTATGTGTAGGTATGGTTAAATAATGCAATTTCGATGGGGGAGGTGGCTGATCAAAGCGGGAATGACGGAGAGAAAATCACACTAAATGGTAGGTGTAGGGGGAAGACAGGTCACAATGCACGCATGGGGTAAAATGCCCACTTGAAAAAAAAAACAGCGATAGATTTTCCTCTCAGATCCTTTGCTCGAGTGATGGATTGAGTTTATTTTCATCTGGAGGTTTCACAAATAATTCTAGGTCTAGAAATCATGCACACAATTTTAGCTGCGGTCTAGCTTATACAGGGTGACTAGTAATTCGTGTTACTCCCGAAGGGAGGTGAAAGTAACCCACATTTGCAGCAAAAAAAAAATGTATGGCAAGGTAGGTCGAAAAATCATTACTTACCGAGAGCAATTAATTTTCTACTGATTCAAAGTGCCTTATTTTGCTAAGGTATTCATAATTGATTGCTTATGAATACCCGAGCTATTGCACGACATTTAAATTTAACATTAAACGGTTAGAACCTGATCAAATCCATCCGAAAGTAAGCCTGTGGCGCCAATTGAATAAAGTTGTTATTTTTCTCTTGATTTTTTCCGTTGATCTTGTTTTCCGTACTTATAGTACTATTGCTAGTGGTTGAAATTGTCATTTTCGTGCGCGTAATTAATAGCTCCTTTATTAAGGAATTCAGGGATATGGTGTCTACAGAGAAGTTTTTCAATATGTTACTGTGCTTCTTTTTAATTTTTTTCAGTTAAAAATTTAAAAAAGCTAAAAGTGAGATTGAAAATTTGTTTTTCAACTATTCAATAAACAGAGTTGGTTTTTTGGACAAAGTTGTAGAAAATGCCTTTACAAACAACTTTTTCAAAGACACCTTATTGATATCTTTTTTACTTTTCAAGATATGTGACGTTTTTTTTTCCGACGGTTCCTCAAAAATGGTTTTCTCATCATAACTTTTTGGTCTAAATTTTTACGACTTTGCCATAATGAGAGAGAGAAGGATTAGTATTTTCCATTTAATTCCACTACTTTATTTGCTTATCCTTGACAGATACGCGTATTTCGTCTACAATGTGCAGACTTCTTCAGTGTCTTGTACTAATACTCGACTAATTACTAGACTATTACTATTACTAGACTTTGCCATGTTCTAGTAAGTTGTACATAGTGACAAAATACAAAACATTACAGAACACTGCCTTTCAGTATCTTCTGTAGAAAAAACTATATAAGTTATAAAAAAGTTATTTTTGTAGATTTTTAGACCATAATTTATGAACTTGTAACTTAGCAGGGGCAAAATGGGGCAAAGTACCCATGGCGCATCTGAAACTTTAAGAAATTTACTTCAAAATGATAGTAAACATCTGCGAATTTAAGCGATTATTGGTAGACATTGATTTAAACAACCTAGTGATAGTCGCACCTAAATGCGCATGCTATTTCATAAGAATTGGGTTGTTTAGGGGTATTAAAGTAAATACATATTCGTTATCTGCTTTAAAAATGGAACCAAAATCCAAAATATCATCAATTTTGGGACACTGGAACTTTTTTAAATAAGTACGATTACATTAGCAAAAATCACCATCTTATGGGGTGTTTACACTTATGCTATTTCACTAGCGCTAATGAGCTAGCTGCTAGCAAAAAAGCTCACTAGCATAATGTAAACAGGGCATCAGCGTCTACCAGCATGAAATTTCAGAAGCAACTGTAATTCGTGCTAGTTGGCGAAAAATCGAGATGAATGTATAAAAATCGGTATATTTTTCGAAGTTAAACAACCCAATTGCCTCATCTAGTGTTAGAGATACACAGAAAAAAATCTGAATTTTAACTGTTGCGTAAAATCTCCCTTCGTTTAATTTTGAGCTATACTTGACATAAACAGCGAAATCGTTTACAAGCTTGCATACAATATTGCTAAGTTATGCTATATTGCGCTCAAATTTACATGAAATATCGCGTAAATTTATGCCAAATCTAGCGTTAATTTTATGTGCGCTATATCTCGCAGAAATTTACATGAATTTTTCAAACGGTGTATCTTGAATACATTATAATGCTACTGTTGAAATCAAGTAAGCCATGAACCAAGACTCCAATCATTTTTCTGAGTCCCTTATCAACGATCGACGAGTGAAGTAAAATAACGTCGTTAAATCTTAATGTTGGACATGAGTGGCTTTAAAGCTCTATTGTGTACAAGAATCACGGTAACACTGCCCAGATTTCAACTGTATAAATGGTCTCCATCGGTATATAAAATATCTCAATTTGCAATTTGTCTGCCTATGTTTTGAAATGGGACAGCAGGAAGCAGCAGGAAGGAGTGGCGATCAATAGTCGCAGTGTATTCAAAGAGGTCCTGAAAGCCTATTCGATTGATTCAGACATTATGCCGGAAGTTTCTGTGGAGGTTGAAAAGTGTACCAAGACTATTTCAAGAGCCACATGTGAAAAGGGCATACCAGCTTTTTGTAAACAAACCTTCTTAGGCCCTTTTGTCGCCAACTGAGGGCCGGTCACGCAAACCAACAACATCATCGGGAAGGGGAAAGTTTCGCCTACCCGGTGATGTTGATGGTTTGCGTTGGTGTCATATGGGTGGTGAGATAAGGGCGTAAGAAAGTTTGTTTACAAAATGCTTGTATGCCCTTTTCACATGTTGATCTTGATTTGTGATATTTTTCAAAGGCTTTGGATAGTCGCACAGCTGACAGGGTGCTGCTCCACCATTTTGAGAATTTCAAAATACCGTTCAAACTTCCAGAAAACATCATCAATATGCTTCCTTCGTTATGACCAATCGTCCTGGATGGGCGTAAGCCAATGCCATTCGAAAAGTGTAGTGGCTCGACTAAAAGAAAAAAAAAACAGCATCCATTCGTGAGAACCATCAAGCGGAAGAGCTTGTATTTGCAACGCAGATGAAGCTACGTGAGTCAGGTCAGAAACATGTTGCTGATACATATTCTCAAAGAGGCTGCGCAGACTACCCCGTCGCGGGCAGGCAAAATTTCTAAATCGTGGAAAAGATCATCGAACAATCCATTGTTCCAGTATACCGATGCTGAAGTTTGGCATTATTTTATTTTATGCAAAGCTGTCCGAATCGCAGTACGTTAGAATTCAGACAGAGGCCAAACAACGAAATACGAATATATATCCGCCGTACCACCACATTCTAGAAGGAGCTGTTATCCGGATGAAAACTATAGCTAGGAAGCTGTTATCCGGATGAATACTATATACACGGTATGAAAATATCATGTAAATATTTCTGTAACTTGCAAGCATATCTGAACATGTAAATCTGCAATTTGCTAGAAAACTTGCAAATTGGTTTGAAAGCAATACGCAGATGCTATCAAGTCTGTTATATTTATACTAAATATAGCTTAAAATTAAGTTTTTGTTTTTCAGTGTTATAGTCAGCGACACATGTGTGGAAGTAAAACTACAACAGCTTCTTGACCACACGTCGGAGCGAATCGTCAATGCAAACGAAGAAACTTTGGATAACTTCACAGATGAAGAGTTTCTAAACATCAATTTGACGATCAAGTGGGGAATGGACGGAAGTGCCGGAAATGCTGAGCATAATAAAAAAAAATCGAGGATAATGATGGTTCAAAAAGACGTCAACATTTTAGCTGCCTTAGTTTTCAAGATATTTTTTTTTAGATTTAAAGTCTAAAAAATCACTATGTTTTTTTTTTATTTAAGTAGTAGTTTTGTTTTCGGACGTATTCCAACAAAACTTTAAACTTTGCCAGAAATAGCATCCTGCTTTGATGCATTGTTTCCAACATATTGAGCATAGACCATTAAATTTGACATAATTTTCAAAAGTCACATCTAAGCAGTTAAAAAAAGTAGTGTGAATATCCGTTACAATGACGCACATAAAAGCAGCGTCATTTATCATATAAGTTTACATTACATATCGTGAGAATTGATGAGACGTGTCATGATATATTCCATATATTATATGCAAATGTCCATCTTTGTAAAAAACATTTCCTGAAAGTTGCTAGTTAACGTGAAAAGGAAGTTTATGCATGTTGAATGTCCACTGTGTACGTTATCGCAAAAAAGATACCCGAGAATTTTTAGGGCTATGCTCATTTTGGAACTGATGTAAATTTACGAACTGATAACACAGTAGGCTATCGTATTACAATGTATTTAATGAATTATTATGATGT